CTGAGTCTTGAATACAGTGCCACCACAATGCCCTCTATCTTGCGATAGCGCCGTAAAATTTTTTGAGACTTTTCTGCCTACCTACGCAAATCCCCCCTCCCGAATTTCTATGGCTATCCCATTTTCAGATGCAGACCTCACCCCTCCTCCCCCTTCACCCACGTTTTCAGCTTGGGTCAAACCTTGTTTTTCAATGCCTACCAGTGGAATTCTTCGTCGAGGCCACGATTCCCAACTGGCAATTGGCTTTAAATGAAAGCCGATCGATAATCGATTAGAGTTGGGCCGCATCAAGCCTGACTTCAATCGATTATCGATCCACCGATCCTGCGACAAATGGACTCTGTGATATGGTCTAATAACCATCTTAGCCTTCGGCGCTGGAAACCAAGGCTAAATTCGTTCTCGCTTAGGAAAAGCTCACTTTTTATGCCTATTTCCCCAATTGGAATCCCTATTGAATCGAAATCGTGGCAAGCACTCGTTTCGTCTTGTTCTGTGAAGCTCCACCCCCTTCCAGTTCACACCCCGCCCACTCCTTTGAACTCATATGAGTATTTAAAACAGCGATCTGACACCTTGGTCCCTACACTATTCAATTGCAGTACCATGAACGAATTCCTGACTTCTTTACGCTACCTGCTCTACCACGAGCAGTTCTAGCAAAACCAACTCCTGTGGAGAAGCAGCTTTTCCCCGGGTTCAAAGGTTTGTTCTCTATTATACAGGTATTGTAAGCAGTCATGATGAGCTAGATGAACCGATTTAACTCACCCCAATTCAGACGTCTTCGCTGCGGTGGTTCCTGAAACGACCGTGGTAGCCCTGAAGAAGTTCGACAAACTGAAGGCAGAGCGACTTCAAAGGTTGAAGGATCGCCTTTCCGAGCAGACCGAGCTGATGGATGGGTGAGTTTCGGTGAATTGCCCTGCAATATAACCTAACCTGTAACCTCATAAAGCGGCAAAGATTCTGTACTTATCGATCCCGAGAGGTATACGCCACGCATCCGGCTTCCACCTAGAATCTCAGAATTCTTTACTCTCGTTTTGGTCCGTGGTACGATTGCAACGGCCAGCTTCTATATAAGTCAGCTTTGTTTTCCCATGTGTGCCTGCTGACGAGCAGCCGCCCCAGATGGAAGCTGTTCAACCTAGTTGCCGTCTGTTTGGTCCAGGGACCATGCAAGGGAGATGTGTTGGGTAACTTTCACTCTAGACACCGGAATATTCCACAAAAGCCTGAATAAGCCAGGAACAGGTCTCCATCCGAGTACGTAACCACTTTCTTTGAAAAACAGGGCAGCGAGAATACCACCTGGGTCTTGGGTTACAGTATGCACAAAATTGCAGACATGGTTATTATTTCACTAACTAGTTAGGGTGCCGCAAGACGCGGGGGATCTGTGACAAAAATGCATTTCAAACTGCATAGAACATCTCCTTTTTTCGTTACAAAAACGACACTCAGCTTGGAGCCCCTGGGAGGGAGAGATGTCAAGGCTGTCTGAGCAATTTTCTTCTCCTAAGTTCCTGGCTTAGTCCACGAGGAGGACCCGTATCTTTGCGCAGAGCGCCGGGATGTCAGCATGAGTATCAAAATTTGGTAATCAGATGTAAAGCGAAAATCAGCAGAGGTGAGAATTTTCAGGATATCCGATTGATCGAATTATTGATTTTATTGAACAGGTGAAAGCAGCCGGTGGAGTGGCCAACATGCGCAAGAAACTGGACGAGTTGACCGTGCTGCACAAGCGGAACAACGATTTGGTAGCCGATGTCAGTTTTATGACTACGTTGATCCTTTTTTCAACTTGTAGTACCTCCTGATCGATTAAGCCTTGAAGCAGGAGGTTCGTCATCGCGGGTCCCATTTAGGGACAAAAATCGGGATAAACTGTTGTTCATGAAAGAGAATACAGGCTGTGGAGAGGGTAGAAGACAGTGCGAGTAGACCTAGACAGAGAGCGTTTTCGCGGCAAGGCGCGCTATCAAGGGCGTAATAAGGCATCAAACAGGCTATTTGAGGTTTCCCCACCGCAGCCCAAATCTGATATCATTCTAGTATACCTTTCCAGATCGACCGCATACTCATTGAGGAGAATCGAAGCGACGTCGACCTTCGGCATCAGCTTCGATCGGAGCGTGTCAGAATCACCAGCGATGAGCTGGTGGGCCCTTTTGTTCAGGTATGCTCTACAATTGGGAAGGATTCCTTGACAGCCCCACCACGGCCGAAAGTTTCAGGAGTTATCGAAGCATCTTGGCGATCTAAAGCAAGCCACTGAAGTCGATAAAGCCCTCCGGACTCTGTTCAGCTCGAATGAAAAGGCGATCGACATGCTCAGCAAGAGTGAGGTAAGCGTTTGTCCTTGGTTATCACTGAATATCACTCCTTATCATTTTCTTGCATTATCGCTAGACCGTGGTATCCTGGTCTTGGATGTAAACTACAATTCAAGCATTAACTTGAAATCTTTCCTTCCGAGCGCTATCAATTTGCATCTCGTGCTGCTTGCAACTACAACTGGTCCGGCTCAACAAATCGCCGATTTGGAGGCAGCAGACCGTATGAGGAGGATACGCCGTGCCTCCGATGGGATGTTTTAGCCAACTCAACTCCATGCACAATTGGGATATGTGCATATCTACGGCTCTGTTCAGAAATCTCCAGAAATTCGGAGACGGTCTGAAAAACCCTAGATGTTAGCAGTGCTCCCAAAAGTGCCATACCAATTGCACCCAAAATGATCCCCTAGCAGTAAAAAGGTTGTGAATAAAACAATCGATTGAACAAACATCTCTATAAAAACCCACCTTTTATAGACACAAAGTGTGTGGATATTTTCTTGCTAGAAGAGCTCTGGCAGAGTTGAAACGCCTGGTCTCTGGCCATACTCTCACGAGTCGCCCTCAATGTAACCTGTAACCCATCAAAAGAACTCAGGCTATAAGCAGCTGGGTGTCCCCCAACAGGCCCACCGCGCGGCGAAGCAAGAGACGCAGACGCGGCAAAGGGACGAGTCGCAGCGCATACTGTAGCGGTTAGGCGTCAGGTTAAAGAGAGTGTACCATACTACGTCTCATATCGCACAGCACGCGCTGCAACTCGTCTCTTTGCCGCATCTGCGTCTCTTGCTTCGCCGCGCGGTGGGCCTGTTGGGGGACACCCGGAAGAGCTCCTTTCCGAGTAGAAACGCATTGGGTCTCTGGGCCATTCTACGCATTCGCCTCAATGTAACTGTGGGCCATCAAAGAGAAGGCAATAAGATCGACAAAGAATGATAAAATTTAAAAAAGGCGACGAGTACGCGTACATTGTCTTACCGGACTATTGTAGAGAACGGTAAGGATGACTTTGGTGCAATTATTTCGTCGCCCCGTGAGGCCCTCTTTTCAGAGAAAAATCCGGGATGGATGAACAATTTTGCTGTCGGCTTTTGCATCATCTGAGAGCCTTCTTACAGGAAAGTCGGGTATACTTAGGCTGCATAGGTTTCCTTGTCGGGAGCCTCGCACGCGATGGAGGGACCTTTTACTCGTTTAACAATTGATTTGTAGAAAAAGGGTCTATACAGTGGGTGGGACGCCCATTCCTTTCACGCATGTCAGCGACTGTTCACCCCACTCTTGCCTAGATTGCTTACACTCCCCCTAACCACAAATTCACGATTCTCGTGACAGTTATAGCGACGTGACGGGAAGAGTCCACTTAAATACTTTCTGTTTCAAAAAATGCGGCGTGCCCTTTCTTGTATGCACCAAAAAAAGATTTGAAGTATATGTTGAGAGTAAATTATCCATGAAACTACAGAGGCCAATGAGTACTGTCTAGGTTTAGGTATGCGTTCAGAAATTAAAAAGGACTTGTCTAGGCCTCGACCACAGCGGTCAAAGCAGCTCTGTGTGGTGTTGCAAGCTTCGACGAATTTTAGAGGAATCGATCTGGAGTGACTCGAGTCAAACATGTTTCTCCACCTCTGCCAGTCATTACTTTCTCTATCTTTCTTTGTCTGTTTATCGCTACAGTACTCGCGCCTATCATTTATCTTTCTCTACGCTTTTCCCTTTTTTCGCTGTCGGTTTCACACTTGTCGGTATTTCTTTCAAATTCCTCTTCCTCATGGGGTATATGAACACATTATGTGCTTCTAAGCTTTTCAGTGTGTTTCAGTAACAGTTGCTATTTTCAGAAGGAACTTAGAGCCCTTATACCGGCTCCTCCGTCGCTCCTCCTTCCTCCCCCCCCCCCCCGCCCCCCCCCCCCCCGCAGCTTATGAAGAAGGTTGAATCGACCAGCGCCCTTCTGAAATTGATGGATCGAGCTCGTGTTATAAAACGTGAGAGAGAAGACGTAGTTAAGGTGATTCATCTCAGAGACACTTTTTTATACTGAATAAAAAATAGCTCAGTGGGTAGAAAACAGGCGGAACGGTCGGGTTCCGCCTATTGGAACCCACCTTTTCATAACTTTTGGGTTCCTTACTGAAAACGGATTACGTTCGAGTCGACGATGTCAGGCGATGAAGTTAAGCGCGTTAGAGCCCTTCGATTCGAGCAGATGTGATAGACGAGCATTCAAACCGCCTGCATTTTGGAGTGAGAGCGTGACGCATAGCTCATCCAAAAAGTTGTATCAGTGGGATCAATTTGTAATTTTCGGATATTAGGTTGAAATGAAAGATAACACTCCAGGAAATTCACGCCAAATTGGCATCCCCTGTCGGTGATGACGTGAAAGCCGAAATGAACGAATTTCTGAAAATCGACGACGACGAGTACATAACAGAGCAAGTGGAAAAGGTGGGTTCCCGTTAGAATAAATTTTGAAGTTCACCTCCCGCCCCGTGTGAAGCTAAGCGCGCAAAGGATAGGATGAATAGGGTTACTTGATCGCTTTGCAGTTTGGCTTGAAAGGGTCACAGAGGTTAAGGAAGAGTTTTCGAATGAATCACGGGCGTATCCCACAACCAAAATATGATCATTTCTTCAAAATGAGGGCAGAGATGCAGAGGGGGACCGGTGGTGAAAAAGATCTCGAAAAGACATTTCGTAGAGCAGATAACGGGTGGACACTGCTGTGGTGAAACGACATTGGGTGCTCATAAGAGAGTACAGAAGAGAGAGAGCATGGTGCCAAGTGAGACGCAGAGCAGCCGCCGCGTAGGCCGCTCTGTTGCAAACAAGAGCAGAGGCAGACTTTAACAGAACCACAATGCCATAGCGCCTCTGGCACGCGCTTTCAAACCACAAGAGCGGTACGTCTTCTAGCTTCGTGGGCAGCTCAGTCCTCTCGAGAAAGAATACGATTCATTGATTAGTTTTGGAATGTGCCTTTGAGGCATTGTTGAGGGGTTGAGGAGTTTCAGCAGTTCGACATTCATGTAAAGCCCCGCTGATAAGAAATTCCGCGAAAAGGGAAGAGGATCTTCAGAGTGGGGAAGGTGGTACTAAGAAAGCTCTCACGACATCAAATATGGTCCTCCCGTCCTACCTTGGCGGCGGTACATGCCGCATATGCATATTGATTTTACGCGCATAACTGGACCTACAGAATATGCTGAGAGCCTGGATCGAATCTATGTGCAACGAATGATGTTCCTGAATCCATTACTAAACTGACAGAAATGGCCGATGTAAACGGATTGAAGAACGAAGCACATAAAAATAAATAAGGTGTTTACTGACACCATGTTTACCTTCCTTCCAGCAAAAAGAACAAACAATGAGTGAACTGAATTCAAAGAAGTGAAAGTTGGAAAAAGTAATATAACAAAGTAACATAGTTATGAATAAACACATAAACAGTACCAATCACTACAGCATCTTGAAAGTTAACAATGCACTTTTATTGACTATAGAGATCATCTAGAATTAATGCGGTCTTCCAAAACATAAATAAACATGCACCGATAGCAAAACAATGAACATGGCTGACGCTTCACTCAGTTTATACTAGCTGTCTTGCACCCAAAGTTCGCTGAGTATAGACGCAGTCAGAGAGCCAAGGAGCAACGACGACTAGTGGCACGATGATTGCTGCGAGGGAAACGGGACCTCTGCACGACAAGAAGGAAACACGTGAATTAGCCGGAC